AAAAATTTCAGAAGTTATCCAACCAAATACATCACATTAGTTCCTTGAAAAACAATTTAAACAATTCAGAAGTATGTTTTAAAAACCTTAATTTGATGCTATGAGGCAACCCAATCTTTCCTCGGATGGCACTGTTAAATTTTGGTCCGGAGCTAAAAAGGAAACACAAAATTACACTAGTTACAGGTTTAGGGTCTTGCTAAGATCGCGTTCATGCGCTCTCCAGCAAGTTTAACATTGTTTAGGCTGCTTGTGTTCCACCTCATTTATGAAGAGGAAACAAAAAGACTTTAAAAAAATCTCAACTCTATCCCAGGAATGTTTTCCTTATATATATCCATACTGGACCACTGAGAGGTGCCAAGACCAAAGGTTACAGCCTCAAAATTTTTACATTTTCTGAAAATACTAATAACCATTTTCAAAACTCCATATGCATACATTCCAGAGACTTAAAAATATATACACATAAAAGTAAGAATAAACTGAGTCAAATTCCCTCACACCAACCATAACTTGTTAAAGCAATCTGGTGTGTATCTCTGCAGTCTTTTTTCAGTATATGTGTATATCAAACGTACACATACAATACACATAAGTCTGTTTTAAGTACTTTTAAAAAAGAAATTTTTTTTGAGACAGGGTCTCACTGTGTAGTTCAGACTGGCCTTGAACTCACAGCAATCCTCCTGCTTCAGCCTCCAAGTATTGGGATTACAGCCATATGCCACAACAACCAACAAACAGTGATTTTACATAGTCATGCCATGGTCACTCTAATTCTTTGACAGCATGGCAGCACATATAATGCACCATACATCAGGTTTTTTGTGGTAAGATATTCTATAATTAATTCACTACCTATTCAGAATAAAAACTTCTTGATCACAACTTTTTTCAAACGGCATAAAGGTAACTTTGGTTAACACCAGTAGTTTTTGTCCTTTTTAAAGACCAAGCTTAAATAGACCAGTCAGACACATGTCCCTTAGTGCTTTCCTCCTTTCCTATTCCAGAAGAGTAGCAAAATTTAACGAGCCTATATTCAAAATTAGTTTTGATGAAAATTAGCCCTCATCTACCACATTCAGACAGTCTCAAATAAAATTATTTTATACTTAAGTGGGTTCCCCTTCCAACTCAGACTAATAGTAATAAAAATGCATATTTACTAAATAAATGTGCAGTTCAAGTAAAATGCTATTTTCTTTTCCTTAATTATGCAACTGTTCTAAGGTCTATACTTAAAAGTCACTTGAAACTGACACAAGAACAAAATCATCTTCCTATAAAATCAGATCAGGACTCGATTCAAAATATCTATCCTTAACAGAAATTACAGTATGAATTTTTGAAGTTACTTTCTCCCTCCCATTAGTTTATTCTGGTAAAATAATATAATCCCATTTTAACCATGTAGTATATCTTAATGCACAAAAGTTTTTAAATACAGCATTCAGAATCAAAACAACTATGGGCCAATTTTCATATAAAAAGTACATGAAATTAGCAAATAAGAGGAACCTAGAAAATAATGGTGGTTTTTTTTTGTTGTTGTTTTGTTTTTGTCTTTTTGAGACAGGGTCTCACTATGCAAGTTCAGGCAGCCTTGAGCTCACTTTGTAGCCCAGGCTGGTCTCAAACTCACAAAGATCTTCCTGCCTCAGCCTCCTGAGTGCTGGGATTACAGGGTGTGCGCCACCACACCTGGCTTCTTTTTTATTTAAAGTTTTTTGAGACAGTCTTGCTATGTAGTCCAGGCTGGCCTTGAACTTATATGTAGCCCAGGCTCAAGGTCACAGTAATCCAGCTGCCTCAGCTAGAATTATAGCCATGAGCTACCACTCCCAGGCAGAGTTTATTTTAAAGACAGAAAAGTCAGAATCAGATTCAATACATCACTAACCAACAAATGCTTTTAACTAATACCAAACATTTCATGAAAATCAGTTAAGTACTGAGTGCTTTATCTACACTTTCTTCTCATTCATTACTCATTTTTACCTTATGTGCAAGTTACAACCTTGTTAAGAAAAAACAAAAGCTTGGAGACTAAGTAACTTGCAAAGACTACAAAGCTCTGACTCAGGCCTATCTTTGAAAGCAAGGCCTCACTAAATTCCCCAGGCTTGGCTAGAACTTGAGATCCTCCTGCCTCAGTTTTCCAGAATGCTGGGATTGTAAGCATGCACCACCATGTCCAGCTAACAGTGTGCTTATTAAAAGGCAGTAACATCAAATCATTCCATTTTAATCTTTGTTTAAAACTGTAAGTCGTTTCCTTTCCAAAGCTATTATAGTTGAATATTCATAGCCATAATAAAACTTGTTTAACCACATCCAAATTTCTGTAGTGATTACACTTTCAAAGCACTTTTAGTTTAGAATATTCTTTTTGGTTTGGGTTTTTTGTGTGTTGTGACAGGGTCTCGCTGTGTAGTGCAGGCTGGCCTCAAACTCAGTGATCCTCCTGCCTCAGCCTCCTGGAGTGCTGGGATTACAGACATGAGCCACCACACCCGGTTTTAAAGAATGTTAAATACAAATAACAGGTGGTGAGCCCAAAAAAGATCTTTATCAAGCATACACAACAAATTCAGTGTGTCTTTTCATCTGAAAACAGCTACACAGCCAGGATTTTTTATTTACTGTTACATATTTGTAACTTCTCCCAGGCACATGAACTTTAAAACTTTTTAAACATATAATACTTCACACATCTTTAAGCTTTTTCAAGCATTCTAATGCTTTAGCCTAATTTGGACTGACATGCAATTAAAATATTTTACCTGAATTAACAGAAAGTTGGTATGCCTTACTTAGTACAAGTCTTATTTGTCCAATTTTTTTACTTCACTAATCTTTAACGGCAATATGTTTATTTAACGTTTACTATTCCTCAAAGAAGTGGTTTTGGCTCACTTTTAACCAAACACCTAAAATATTTCATAATTCAAATCCCTCAAACTAAATTGCTATCTGAATCGTCAGAAAATATTCCTCTAGTCATAATCATAGTTATAGTTACATACTAAGGACTTCTGTAGCGGCCTCGGAATCTACGATCTCGACTTCTTGAGCGGCTCCGTCTCCTTTCTTTGCTTCTACTTCGCTTCCGTTCACGGCTTTTGCTCTTTTTCCTTTCTCTATCTCTACTACGCTTTCTTTCCTTACTTTTGCTTCTCTTTCGTTCATGACTTCGACTTCTGCTCTTGCTTTTTTTCCTCCTAAGAAAAGAAAAATAACCATTATCTTGCTGATTAAAAAACCTATCCCCCCAAAAAAAAGCCCAACATTAAAACAGATTTCCTTTTATCGTCAAAAAAACTTTTAGCCCTTTTGCAATTTTATTTTGCTATTTTTACTATCATATAATGACACATAATCACACTTAAGGGAAAACAATTCCTAGGTACAGTAAGAACACCCCTCCACTGTCTTACATAACTGAAAAAAGATCAGTCAAGAGGTAATTATTAGAGAGAAACCATGGTTTAACAGTAGGAACTGCAAGGATCTCTTGAGTTAACGACAGCTTTCACAAAAACCAGGACTTGCTGGCAAGTATAATTTGAAACCTGAACTTTTAAATAGCTTAATTATAGCATAACAGACCAGGGGTGGGGATTTAGCTCAGCGGCACAGCGCCTGCCTGGCAAGCGCAAGGTCAAGAGTTCGATTCCCGGTACCAGAAAAAAACCAAAACAAAACAAAAATAACAGGCCAATAAGTATTATTGTAATTCACAAGTTATATTAATAAAATAAAAGTTACAATGGTATATGCTTACATTTAAGTACCAGCAATGGATCATTTCCAAATTTTAATTAAATATACTAATTTATCATAAATCAATTTTGATCCAATTTACAGTAGTATTTTATACTTCCAAAGAATTATATAGACATCAACATTTGGTTTCCAACAGCAAAATTACAAGTAATTACAAAAAAACACTGAGAACTAATGCATTCCAACACAAGATTTTTATGTAATTTTTTTTTTTTTTTAAAGCAGTACTGGAGATTGAACCCACAAATTTGGGCACGCTGAGCAAAGTAACACTGTGCTACAACACCAAGTCCCCCACCCGCTTTTTGTTTTTTTGAGACAGGTTCTCACTATTTAGAGTTCAGGTCAGCCTTGAACTCCCTGTGTTCAAGGCTCAGCTTCCAGGTGATAGCACTATAGGCATGAAACAACATGTTCCCAACCCCTATTGAGAAGTCTTCCTAAGGTGCCCCAACTGGCCCCCAACTTGTGATCTTCCTGCCTCAACCTCCCAGGTGTCTAGGACGATTATATAGGTCCATGCCACTGAAACACCTTTGACTTAAAGTTAAACACACTACAAAATGGAGTACATCATTTTTAAGCCAGTTTATACAAGCCTATAGGATGCAATAAAAAAGATCAACTTGACCTTCATAAATCTTTACAAAATCTCAAACTCTGAAAGGTAAAAAAGCCAGTCGGTTATATCTTCCTATTCATTTCTAAATTTTTCACATGATTTGTCCCACTCCTTTCATAATTAAATCTAAAATCTGTACCTGTGTCATCACCCAAAATAGAGATGCCTTCAGATATTTCAATGAAAAGCAATATACATTTCAAAAGAAACTTATTCCACTAAAACGTCAATTTGTAGTGGGGTTTAAAGACTGAACATTTTGACAATTCTACATCATTACCCGGAAATTAACAGTTTTAGTCTTTATCAAAGCTAAGTTAGCTATTGAGGTTTGCCTCAAAGAACCTGTAAGCAGGTTATCTTAGAGTGCATTAAAAATAGAAAAATGAAGACACCCACCTTCTGGAATCTTGAAACCCACACTCCAATCACAAGGAGATGTAGAGCTTTCCAAGGAGGCAGAAACTTTGTCTAAAATTTCAAGATAATCCACCTGACTGTCAGAAATGTATATGCTAGGTAGCACGTGACAGAAAATTAGGCTACACTCATTATTTATATAGAAGTCAAACCAATGCCCAGAAAGGCAGCAGATAACATTGTCTTTATTGTCTCAAAAACCTGACGCTAGCTCTTAGACTAAACAATTCTTATGAGATGGCTAAAACCGAAAGTCCTAAACATGATCAACTCAGTTAGGGAATAAGGTAAAAAGTATCCCATCTACCACAAAAAAAGGACAAAAGTTTTTGCCCTATTTAAAGATGGCCTGTATCAGAGAGGCAGCCAACATACTTTTACCTCTCACAGGTCCCAACTTACTCTGCCAAAAGAAAAGACTTCAAAGACCAGACAGAGTTTACTTTAAGTATTCCTAGGACTTTTGTTAACAGTCTCCACCCACATCTGAAGGCAACCCAGACAGGTAAAAAGACAACATAGGATGACATTCAGAGAATACAATCTTCTGCATATACAGCCAAGAGAAAAATTTGAAGGTACTAGAAACAAGCATATTCTATAATAAATCTCAACTTCAAAAAACATTAAAGAGTGTATCAAAATCCATACTAATAGTCAAATCCTGTTACAACTTAAATGGGACTTTCCCAAGTCTTTAGTGGCAGTGGAATTTTGTACTGAACATCATTGAAGTAAATGGTCCACTGGGCTGGGCCTTTGGACTTTTTGGTTATATGGCCTCTGCTGTAAAGGTGTTTTGCTATAACTGGATTTGACCTCTTCCATGTAAGAAGATCTAAATTTTAAATGCAAAGTGTTCTGGAAAATAAGAAAAAAAATAGAAAAGTCATTTATTCCAAAATCTATAGATAATCCACACCACAGTAGCCAATATATTTCAACTGTGTCATTTCATTATCCTGTAGTTCTTTTAAAGAGCTTAACCAAATAAATTGTGGTTTAGACTTTGCAAAATAGGTTACAGTGACAAACATTTCCTTGAGGGCAACCTGAAGTACTTAAGGTACTTAAGGCATATTTTGAGGTCTTTCCATCCTCAGGGTTATAGCTCTTCAAAAAGTAGGCTAATTGATAACCTACACGTGTTATATTAAACTTAGTACCTTTTACTACAGGGATATAATGAAGTGTATGTGCTGATAATCACAATTACTATTTTTAGAAGAAAACATTTAGTCAATACTTTTTCAGAATATACACTTTTCTTAGTACCTTATAAACTATTACCTCAACAAGTAATGGCTTTTAAAACCATTGAAATTTTAGGATAAAAAATGCAAAAAGGCAGCTTCCTTTAGTTAAGACATTTAATTTTCCCTAAATACCAAAGCAAAGGGAGAACATTTTACTTGTTTCATCTATCTCTAAGCATCAAAATTTTCATCTACAAAATGTTTGAATTAATTTAAGTTCCTTCAGAAAAACTCCTGACTAAACAAGGGAACCATTTATTTAATCAGGTAGAACAATTCTGACAAAAATTTTGTACATTTTAAAAGATTACTAAGATCAGAGTTTAGAAACAGTCTCTCCTTAAAGAATTATATGGCCAATTACATTTTCTATTCATTTATTTACTCCCATGGGACTCCTTCCTTACATTAAAAAAGCCTCTAAACATCTTTTATAGAGAGCTTCAAGCTCAATTACCTTATAAAAGCTTGATGGCATTAAGGAGCTTACATGCAAGATAAAAGCAAACATAAAAAGGAGAATCAAGGGGTGAGTAGAGAATGATAAAAGATTTGTCCCCTAAAAGCATACGTCCTCACCCTTTTGGCACTTAATGTGATATTACTTAGCCAATAGGCCAGACCTATGCACTGGCTAATTTATGACAATTTATATAAATATCTCTTCCTGGGTTATTTGAATTTTTTTTTTTTTTTTTTTTTTTTTGAGACAGGGTCTTGATATGCAGTTCAGGCTGGCCTTAAGCTCACTTTGTAGCCCAGGCTGGTCTCGAACTTACAAAGATCCTCCTGCCTCAGCCTCTCAAGTGCTGGGATTACAGGCGTGCACCACAACGCCTGGCAGGTTATTTGATTAGAGGACTAAAAAATAAAAAATTAGAAAACCATTACTTCAATAATACTAAAAGCAAACATAAGCCTGCAGTAATTTATGATTACTTCTCTGACCACAACTACCAAGAGTAAACACATGATGCTCATATATACTTTTCAATAGTGAATAGGAATGACTCCCATCTAAGCTTGTACCAGAAAAAATAGTATTTTCCACAAATTATCTCATTTTTGGTCCTTTACTACATCTTAAGGGTATTATAAAAACAGAATATGAGCTTTAGCAAAACCTGAATACTTCAAATACAACCATTTTCTCATCCATGAAATTTTATCAAGCTACCTAACAAATTTGTTGAGGATGGAGGTAGTTATTGTGAAGCACTATGAGCACTTACGCAGAGCCAACAAAGTGGCTATTTTTATCACTTTTCATTATATGTTATGGATTCATGAATGTGGTACAGTATTTTTTTTGATGCCAGGAATCAGACTCAGGACCTTGTGCTCAACAGACAGACTCTGCCATTGAGCTATATCCTCAGCCCATGATAAAAGTATTTTAATGACATCAACACAGGCTAGTAAAACAGCCCAATAGTTGTAAATATGACCACTAGAATCACTAACCTTAAGAGCTGAAAAGAAACTTCAATAGATCCCAGTCTTTTTTTTTTTTTTTTGAAGGCAGTCTCACTGTATAGAATAGGTTGGCCTTGAACTCATTTATGCAGCCCAGGCTGGCCTCCAATTCACTGTGATCCTCCTGCCTCAGCCTCCTGAGTGCTGGGATTACAGGTGTGAGCCACCTCGCCTGGCAGGTTCTAGTCTTATAAAGAAGATCCAGTTTAAACTGTTCCAAACTTTTTCTGCACTGTATTCTATACCAGTTTGTAGCACAAAGTTCCTTTTATGAGTCATTCATCTACCTCAAATTCCACATTTATAATTAAAGAGACATTAAGTAGGGGCTGGGGATTTAGCTCAGCAGCAAAAGCGCCTGCCTGGCAAGCGCAAGGTCGTGAGTTCGGTTCCTGGTACCGGAGAAAAACCAAAAAAAAAAAAAAAAAGAGACATTAAGTACTTAATTATACTATCTCATTGCTACCAAAACAGCTTTTCAGGATTAAGGAGCAAGGATTCTTTTAGTGATTTAGGGTCAATAATACTGTCCATGGCTATTATCTTCTCTAATATAACTCTTCACCCTTTCAAATTCAATAGAATAAAATAATTTCATTGACAGTGTCACCAAATATTAAGGCAAAGTTAACAAATTTAAAAGCAAAACACAAATTCTAATGTAAGAACTCATTTTCTCTTGTTTTGACACAGGGTATACCTATGTTGCGCAGGCTGACCTCCAACCAACTCACAATCCTCCTGTCTCAGCCTCCCAAGTAGGGGGATTAAAATTGTGTGCCACTGCATCTGATTTAACACAGAACTCTGAACCAGATTATCATGATGGACTTGGAAGAGAAGGTGTCCAGAAGGTCCCTGAAACCAATACCTAAAATCTAGGAGGGAAAAGTCCACAGTTTCACATACTCAAGGAATTTTTTGTCCCAAAAGGTAAAGAACCAATTTTCTTAGAAACAAAGAAAAGCTTCAGATGGAAACCTTAGTATGATGGTTTAGCCACAGGAACACAACTTAAGATTTCAAACACAAAGCTCACCATAACCACCCCCCAGGTTCCTTTCTAAAACTTACTTTTTGCTACGTTCTTCATGGCCGTTAGCACTGCTCAACTTGTTCTCATCCTAAGCAGGGTTGATAGAAGAACATCATGAGGACGAAGTGGTAACATTTCATTTCAAGTTGTCAAAGGGTAAAGGGAATAGGAATAAGAAAATACAAGACAATTTAAAAACTAATTACTTTTAAAGTTTAATATGGAAGGCTATAAAAAAATTTAGATGGTATGTGTTTAACCACTTTGTTTACAATTATGTCATCAGATACAAAAATAAAAATTCCACATTAATACATTAAATTTTACTTTCTTACATAGCTTATATATTAAGTTATCCAGATTTACAATGCTGAAGTGGTTAAATATAATTTCCATAAAACGTTTAGTCCTGTTTTGACTTTTATTCCATGTGCTATGGTCCCTTTTGTCAGTACCACGGCTCTATTTCTGCCTAAGCCCCAAGTGGCCATGCTAGCAGCCAGCCACTATCGATTTCCTGTGACCGATGCCATTCCTGAGATCTTCGCCCATTTCCGTTGGAGGGTTGGGACTGTAAGAGCTTGATGCCACCTCTGTCACACATCTCGCCCTGAAGCAAACAGGGATTCACACTGCTTTAGTAATGTTGACTCCCAAGAACCCAAGAAAGTCAATTAATAATCCACCAGTCCAACCTATACATTTCCTACTTCCATACCTGTTCACATGGAATTACATCCATGTTAAACTAAGACACAAGAATTTTAACATTTAAACAGAAAGTAGTTCTTCAAGAATCTATGCATCACAAAACTACACACATTAAAGCTATCAGAATGAATCCAAAAGGTACCACATGGCCGTGCTATATACTCAAAAACAAACGTATTATTTTTTAAAAGGTTTAGTGCAATGTTTAAAGTTTGATCACATCAGCTATAGGAGCATAAGTGCTAACTTACAAAGTTTATATAGTTTGTGACACCAGTGATAATGCATGCATTCTGCTATTTTCACCACCAACTGGTGAAAAGAATAAAAAGTGAATTTACTTTTACTGTGATACTGAAATGGGTCATATTGTATTAGGCAAAATAATCCCTTTGTAGTTTTTAGTGTGAAATACAATGGCAGGGCCTAATTAAAAACAAAACAATATGGAGAACAGTAAAACAGTCAAGTGACTAAGCTGTGATACTGCCTCTTTTGTTTTTTGGTTTTTTTTTCTATTCAGGGATCCAAGAATTTTAATAATTATTAACTGAGAAGCAGATCGCCACCTGCCTGTTTTAAGATTTACTATCACCAGTCTTTCATTTATGTGTAAATTTTTAAATCTCACCCACTTCTTAAAAGACTTCTTAAAAAGATTTACTTGCTATAGACTGGTTATACTTTGTTATTCTTGGACCCCTGCTATTTTCCCAAACCACTACCATTCACCTTTTTGCTATACCAAACTGGAGCTGGTAATTCTTAGTTGAGTCATTTTACCTAGGGGACCACGGTACAGCGATAAGTCACTCAATTACTACCTTATGATTGACAGTTCACACTGGAATCAAAGGTGAATTCATGGGAGTAGAGGTGAGATATCGTTAGGCAAGTCTACAAAGAGAGATAGATGGGCATTTATTCATCACGCTGAAGTGAAACTACTGCACAATATTATTACATCAATAGCATATATTTACTTTTGTAAGTTACACGTAATGCATCTCTGATAAGATAAATCAAGAGGGCTCCAGGGAGGTTAGTTTACATTTCAGCAGTAGTTTCGTGAATGCTAAATTAAGAAATATATAAACCTCACCGACATGTTTTCTCACCTTCTTGTAAGGAGCCTCAAGCATTGCTTCAATATCAATATCGTCTGCCATTTTCTCTAAACACCTAAGAAAAAGACAATCTAATGAGTAAACATTTTTAAATTTTTTTTTTTTTTTTTGAGACAAGGTCCAGCTATATAGGTCAGACTGGCCTTGAACTCACTATGTAGCCCAGGCTGGCCTCGAACTCACAGCCATTATTCTGCCTCAGCCTCCCGAGTGCTGGGATTACAGGCGTGCGTCACCACGCCCGACTCCAGTTTTCAATTTTTGTCTTTGGTAATTTTTCTTAACCGACGCACTCCAAAATCTTTCAAAAGCCCCAAAAGGGCACAAGTGTCCTAAGGTACTTTACTACCGTTAGTTTAAGTAAATCTGAAACGTTTCTTGCCCCAAGCACAAGGAAAAAACGGAAGTCCCAATTTTAAGTCTACAGTGAACCACAAAACCAGAACCGCAGAGCCTCGGGCCAGAGCACCTCTCTCCGCACAAAACCCGTGCTGCCATTTTAGGGGCAAAGGGAAACTCCCTCGCGTAGGGAGGGGTTGTGTGCCAAGGCAGCGCTCGGCGGGCGCCATGTTGGGAAGCCGCGGCCGGCGCCGGCCTCGGAAGGGGAGGCCGCCATCGGCCGAGGCCTCCCGGGGGCCCTTGCCACCCCAAGAAACCCGACTCTTACCACCCGGACAAGGGCGCGGCCGCCAAAATGGGGCCGACTCCTCAAGAACCACACACACCCACGTCGCTAAAAAAACGACAGCAGCGTCCCGCGGGAAGGAACCAACCCCCGTAAAACCCAGTATGAGGGACCGCGACGGAGCCTTACCTGTGCGGGCTTTCGGACGCCTGTACCGCTCGTATTCGCCAAGTCGGCTGCCGCTGTTGCTACTTTTAACCCCTAGGCCCAGGCCGCGGTACCGCCCAGCCCTATTAATAGGGCTGAGAGGGCGGATACGCCTAAGCAAATCTAAAAGAAACAATGGAATTAGAGGAGCCCGCGCGGAAGACCAGGATGGAGGCTTCGGCAGCTGAGGATCCACCCCTGCGACAGCGTCAGCAAGCTCCCTGAAATGGCGGCGGCTGCTTCCTCGTACTCACATTCACCAACACACATACACACAAACACACGGGGTCTCCTAGAGCCCGCAGCACGGACTCTCGCGAGAAATTACCCTGAGTTCCAGCCCGAAGAACACCAAATATCGCGAGATCTAGCTATTGCCCCAGCGACAGTGGCCCAATCTCGCGCAATGATTGCGCCACAGACGTTCCCATCCCCCTTTCAGAGAGGCGCCTTGCACTCTCCTTCCACCTAAGAATCTAAATCTCGCGAGAACCCACAGCTTTCCAGAGCAAAGACAGTTGGTGCCCTATCTGTCAATCTTCTAACTCTCAGCTGAGCGGCGCTCCGCGTTCTTCCTACGTTCGTGGCGCCTCCTCGCAGCCATCTGAAGGTTTTCCTCTCATAGCCGACCGTCCCTCCCTTTCCGGCCTCCCACCCAGGTGGTTGTCAAGGTCGCCATGAGGCGATCTAGTCCATATGGCGGTGGGATAAAATGGTCATTCACTTACGGCGCTTGTCCGTCGAGGAAGACAAAAGGAAAAACAAAAGAAGACAAAAGGAAAAACATGTAAGAGACAAAGCGAGAAGAGAATCAGGGGTTGGAGGACAGAATAAAAAGTTACTCTGCCGTTTAGTGTCAGTGGGCTAGGTGAGGCAGCACTGTCGAGCTTCGAAAAATCATTGGAAACCCTGGAGACAAGCATAGAGGGGGAGAAAAAATAAAACTGTGCCTCCATCAGCAGTAAGTTAGCTCTGTATCCCCTGACTTTAGTCTGGCCTCGTGTCCACTTTGGTATTGTCTCCTCAAAAAGTCCACCTTTGCTCTAAATTTGTCTCCTTACCCCTGAAGACAGAAACCCTGACAATCCAAACATTAGTTTGTCACTTGTTTTTTGGTTAATACTGTGACGCAGAGCAGAAGTCATTGACTAGGGGTGTTTTCCTCCCAGATAATATGTTTGGAAAAATGTTAATGTCTTCAAGCAAAAGTGTTAGGAAATCTGTCAGCAGTTTAAAGATGGAGCATAAAAAGGGTTAGAAATGAGACCTTGGTGGAGCTGCTCCAACACTGTCACTTTGGACAAGTAAATTAATCTTTCAGCTAGTCTTCCTTTCCTTCCATTTCCTTTTCCACTGCCTGCAGGAGGCCCTGGGGTCAATTCTAGGC